AGAACCGAAGGTTCAAAGGGTTTAGACCACCGCTCAATTAGGTTGTTGTTTAGGGTCTACGCTTTAGGGGTTGTTTGCAGCCTAGCACATGCATCAAGCCTAAAGCATGCGATTCTCGAAGCTCATGTCGGTTCAGTGGCTGAACTTCGTTCTGCCTATTTTGCAAGAGCTTAGATTGTTCAACTCGAGCCATAGCTCCTGCATTCCTGTGCTCTGGGCATTGCTCTTGTTTACTGCAGCTTGGTGCTGCGGGCTTTTTACTGGATTGATCACCGCTGCCCTCGTCCTTTCTTCCTCCTGCAGGGCTGTGCTTGGAAGGATCTTTCGTATACTTGGCTTTTTTCTGCTGGACAGGCCCGTGGCAGGGCAGACTCTGTTGGAAGGTCGGCCGGAGCAACGGCGACGGCTTCGCCAGTATACTGAGGATTAGTGTATGAGTGCTCCCTGCACTCCGCGGCCCGCAGGCAGGTCGGCAGACGAGGACGTGGACGAGATCACAGTCCAGCTTCGCGACTGCAGCATCCGAGTTCGCTTGTCACCTGGCGGACGCGCCTCTGCCTCGCCTACTGGTGAGGCTTTCTCCAGCGCAGCTTCCTCCTCCGGCTTCAGTGTGGTCACTGAGGGCGGGTGCCAGAGTACCCCTTGCAGGGGCCCATTTAAGAATACTTCAGGCTTTAGCGTATGCTCAGGGCTCAGCATAAATCCTCTGAACAAAAGTGAGATGTTTTCCCTAACCCTAAACCCTTGGCCAAGGTTTCGTCCTTATAGATCGTAACTGTGGAAAAACGCCTGGGCCACATGGGTGTTTAACTAGTGACCCTCGATTCTTGGTTTAGGATGTGGTGCCAGGCCTGTTCCACAGAGGACCTTAAATCTCAAACCTGAATGTGGCACTAAAGCCGCGGGCCAAGGCTGCTGCAGCTCCTGGGCCGCTCCTGGACCGCTCCTGGGCTGCACCTGGGCTACGCCTGGCCCGCCGTCGCCGCTGCTGCCGATGCGATACGCATGTATTCGATTATTGTGTGGGGAAGATCTTGCGCTGCCCTTCCCCATACATGGCCCATCCCAAACCCTAGCCTAAGGCGATTTAAAAAGAAGTGCCCTAACAGCCAAAATGCTAGACATTGTAGCACAACGCTTGGGCCACATGGGTGCTTAAGTACTGACCCTTGATTTTCGGTTTAGGATGTGGCGCCAGGCATGTTCCACGTTAGGTTTGTAAGGTTTTTGCCACAATTACGAATACGTTAGTGCTAGGCGTGTTCCACATAGGGTTTGCTAGGATACGGTTAGTGAGTGAGTGCGGATCAACGAGCACATCGAGCCGATTGGATTGGTGATGATCCGACTGATTCCACCAAAAGGCGTTTTCATTCCGTGATCGCCAAGCCCGGGATTGCGGGATTGCCTGGCGATGCTGTCAGGTGCATCGAGAGTCGGCGTGTGGCCATCTGTGCGTGGAGAGCCTCAAGCGCCCAAGTGCAGTCTACGCAACTCTCGGGTTGAATGGGGACTTCAGCATCAAGGTGCACGCTGAGAGTAACAATCACGGACCGACCCACATGATCGGATTTGGGTCCATATACATGGGGCGAGCTGTGCATCCTGCATTCCAGCCCACAAGACGAGGGCACGGCGGCATGACTTTGCGTGGAGCATGTGCGCGCATGAACCCCATCCCTAACTATAATTTGTAAGCCTCCACTATAGTAGAGAATTCCACCTGAACCCACGAAAGAATGTCCCATCATCAATCCTGATAAACGATTCTCATACCTACAAACCAATAATTGCAAGCTGCGGAGATCCCAGCCCTAAACCCAACCCGAAACCCTAAACCGTTTGCGGCAGACATCAAAAGTCCGAGGGGTTGTAAAAAAACCCTAAACCACTCACGCAATGGAAACCTCCTGTGCAACTGTTCTTTCTGAACTACCATTTGGCAGTCGGAAAAATGAGTTGCAAAACAAAAACTTGAAACGCTAGCCCCTAACCCCGCCAACCACGATAGCTGCTGGGCCAAGTGGCCGTCACGTTGATGAGCCTCCCAGCAGAGGGGGGAGCAAGGGTTTCAGGAACATGTAGGCCTCATAGGCTCCACATCATTTAGCTGTAGGAAAACGGAGCTAGAGGTTTATCCCAAAGCCCAT